GCCATCTCGTCTGAATTGCTACAATAGCCACCCCTTCCCTCAATTAGTTTTAGCCCCCTTCAACTCATTCTTCCTTTAATTCATTGAACCCAGAGCAGCCATCCTAAAATGCAAATCTGATTATGTCAACTTCCTAACTGCAAGCACCGTGGTAAGCTCAGTCAAGGCAGTATCTCGTGGCCCTTGGCTGTCTCTTTGCTTCATTCATTCTCCATCTCACACCTGAACTCCATGCACAGCCCCGGGGGTTTCCACTACTCCTCCATTTGTGTTATGCAGTCCTTTCTTTGATACCTTTGCAAATGCAGTTCTCTCCATCTGGAACCTCATCTCCCTCGTTGGTTTCCACATCTCTACCATTTAGCTATGTCTACTGGTTCTTAAAATCTCAGCTTAATCATTATCACAAACAGGTATTAAATGCTTCCTATGTGCCACGGCACTGTTTTAAGGGATTTTACACATCTCATTTAACCCTCACAATAACCATAGGAAGTACTTTATCACTAGTTTCAGAAATGTAGTAACATCTAAGATATCTGCATTTTATTATTATTTTTTGACAGAGAGTGTGTCAGAGGGAGAGAGGGAGAGAAGGAGAGAGGGGGAGAGGGAGAGGGAGAGAGAAGGGGAAAGAGAGAGAGAGAGAGAGAGAGAGAATGAATCAGAAGCAAGCTCCAGTCTCAGCACAGAGCCCAATGTGGGGCTCAATCTTAGGACCCTGGGATCATGACCTGAGCCAAACCAAGAGCTAGATGCCCAACAGACTGAGCCACCCAGGTGCCCTAGATGTTACTATCTTCAAAAGCTTCCCATGGGTCCCCTGAATGGTTGTGTAATGCTTGTAGGTACCCAATAATACTTCATGTTTTCCCCTGTCACAGCACTCACCAAACTCCACCATAATTCTGTTTTACCTGCCTCTCTGAACAGATTCCAAGCTCTTGGATATAGAAGGTTAAAAAACAAAATAAAAAAAAATTAAAAAAACCCATGCCTCATATACAGCTGTATTCCCAGCAGTTAAGACAATGCCTCTCAAATACATAGTTGCTGAACAAATTAATAAATTACTGAATAATTGCTGAGGTATTCAACGGTGTTTAAAGGTGTTCTCCTTTAAACATATAAGAGTTGTGTTTATGAACATTACCAATTACTGTCATTTCTGCCGTGTGGGAGACCATCTAACACATATATTAGAAGAGTGTGATGAGGGGAAGGAAATAAGTGTAAACGGACTGATAAACTATTGATAAAAACTACATAGTGATGGGTAAATATCAATTTTCATTCTTCCATCTGTCTTGGCTTCAAATGATTTCCTTAGTTGACTTTGTCTCTTGCTTTTCTTTCTCATACTCATCACCCCCCAAGTTCAGATTGCTACCCCTCTTGGCTCCACATTCACGCAGGTATCCATCCATCCATCCAACTAGCAAGATGGCTGACATTGAGGATATAGAAATGAGTAAGGCTAGGTTCTTCTCCTCAAGAAAAAGTCTAGGGGCACCTGGGTGGCTCAGTCAGTTAATCATCTGACTTTTGATTTTGGCTCAGGTCACGATCTCACAGTTCATGGGTTCAAGCCCTGTGTTGGGCACTCTGCTGATAGCTCAGAGCCTGTTTGAGATTCTCTCTCTCCCTCTCTCTCCCCCTCTCCTACTCTCTCTCTCTCTCTCTCAAAATGAATAAACTTAAAAAAAAATCCACTGCTGGGGCGCCTGAGTGGCTCAGTGTGTTAAGTGTCCAACTCTTGATTTTGGCTCAGGAATGATCTTGCGGTTCATGAGTTCAAGCCCCACACTGGGCTCTATGTTGAGACCACAGAGCCTGCTTAGGATTCTCTCTTTCCTTCTCACTCTGCCATTCCCCACTTGTGCTTGTGCACTTGCTCTCTCTCGCTCTCTCTCAAAATAAATAAATAAACTTTACAAAAATAAAAGAAAAAGTCTAATCATTTGCCTGGGCCATAGTAAGGGCTCAATAAATGTTTGTTTCTACCCCACCCTGTCTTGTGCAGACAGGGACAGTGATTGCTATATCACCGGTGTGAAACCTGCAAGCTGTCACCTTTCCTAAACAAACTCCTTGCACCCTTTTCATTGTAAAAATAACACTGTAACTGTCTCATGACCAGCCAATTTGATTTTACAAAGGAAAATCTGCTCCTTTTTTTTAATGGTTCTTCTTTCCTTGGCTGAGAGTTGAACTTACTTGGAAGAGCACAATAACTAAAAATGAAGTTCTAGTATTAGAAACAAATTTGGGAGTGCCTGGGTGGCTCAGTCGGTTAAGCAGCTGACCTCAGCTCAGATCATGATCTGTTTGTGGGTTCAAATCCCACGTCGGGCTCTGTTCTGACAGCTTGGAGTCTGGAGCCTGCTTCAGATTCTGTGTCTCCCTCTCTCTTTGCCACCCAGCCCCTGCTCACGTTCTGTCTCTCTTTCTCTCAAAAATAAATAAGCATTAAAAAATGTTTAAACAATTAATATTCTTTAAACATAATGAAACAAATTTGGACACCTGCATGAAGTTCAGGATCATGGGAAGCAGTCATGAAAAAAACCAGAGCTTTAACAATGGATCAGAGAGCCTTGCTCTTCGTGTTGAAAGAAAAAGGGGACTGAAAGCAGCCAGAAGCCAGGATGTACCAGGTCTTCTGCTGGGTTCACAACCACAGGCTCTCTCTCATGACCCACATGTGCACCTAGGGAAATCTGCATGTAAAGCGAAAGTCCTACTAACAATTAAAACCAGTTGTGAACACAAGAAGTGGTCTCAAGTTCCCAAAATACCTAAACAGGTTCTCTTACAGTGTCAAAGCAATCACTCCTAAAAGCCAGAGTATAAAGAGTCAAGCACACACTTGTAATAACAAGCATAGAATCTTAGTTGGAAGCTTGTAATTTCTTTATAAAGATAAAGTTGGTCAACCATCTACAGGTTCCATTATCATGGCATCCTGAAAGAAAAGTTATACAATTTAACATGAAAATTAGGCTATGCCTAAAGTAATTTTTAAACTTTTCAAAAATCTAGTAAAATTAAATTCCCTATATTGTACTACAAAAGGGAACATGTATTTATTAAACAAGAGAAAAACGGACTACCATTTTCAGGGTCAAAACTGAGTATTTTCTTTAACAATAAAACTTATTATATATATATATATAAAAGAACATTTCAGTGAAATATAAAACAAATATTTTTCTCTTATTTTCAGCAGTTTTTTCTAATATCCTGTTTTCTAATATCAATAGGGAGGAAGAGAAGAATAACAAAGAAAGCCTATAGCTGAAGATCCAGAAAGAAAAATCTACCTATTAGCTATCATTTGACTCAAGGGATTTACAAAATGCAAAAACAAACACATCAATTTATTCGTTAGGAGTCAAGTGAGGAGATAAACACCAACTGAGAGATCTTAGTTGGGATGGTGCCTAATGGAGGAAGCTCTCTAAGATGTCAAATCTAGAAAGTTACCTAGAAATGAGTGACAGTAATTCACAGCGATACTAAAAATAGGAATCCGGTTGTAACATCTATACTCAATGAGGCTGGAGTATCAAAGCGCCTCCCTAATCATACCAATTTATCAAATGTACCTGGACCTTCTTTATAGTGGGTCATAAACTGTGGAATATTTGTTGAGGGGGAAAAAAAAGTCTAGGTCACCAGGCCATCTGTTCTTCTAGTGCTCTGGCTGGGGGAGATCCAAGTATATATGAGATTAAGTGGAAGGCAAGTGGCTAGTACTTTTGCTATCTATCTGCAGAAGGTTTTAGCACATTTATCAGAAGCCATACAGTGCAAACTCTTTTGATATTAGGTCTCTGGGTGTAGCTTTCAAGATCATTCTTTGTTCCATTCTTCCTTTATTGTTAAACTGCACCCAACAGGTGGTTTAGAGTGTGAATTCAAACACGTGCTATTAATATGCCCAAAACTGTTGCTGCAAAGGGGAAAGAAAACCACATTAATTTAATCTTGGTCTGTTCTTATTCATAATGTCACAAATACATTTTCTATGTCCTAAAGCAATATGAAATTATTTATAAAACCATGTGAAATCTTCAGGTGAATAAACCCATTAAAATATGTATTATTTATTGCTATTAAAAGTAATTATTAGAGGTGTCTGGGTGTCTGAGTCAGTTGGACGTCCAACTTCAGCTCAGGTCATGATCTTGCAGTCTGTGGGTTCGAGCCCCACGTCAGGCTCTGTGCTGACAGCCCAGAGCCTGGAGTCTGCTTCAGATTCTGTGCCTCCCTCTCTCTCTGCCCCTCCCCAACTTGTGCTCTTTCTCTGTCTCTCAAATAAATAATAAACATTTTTTTAAATATTTTTATTTATTTCTAAGAGAGAGAGAGTGTGTGAGCAGGGGAGGGTCAGAGAGAGAGGGAGATACAGACTCTGAAATAGGCTCCAGGCTCTGAGCTGGCAGTCATCACAGAGCCCAACGTGGGGCTCAAACCCACGAACCGCGAGATCATGACCTAAGCGAAAGTCAGATGCTTAACCGACTAAGCCCACCCAGGTGCCCCAACATTTTTTAAAAAATAAGAAAAAAGTAATTATTATCTTACAACAATTCTCCAGCAAAAACTACACACAGAAGTAAAGGTCAACAATAAAAAAAATAATAATGTTACAATCTCTTTTTCATTTACCCTGGTTTTCCTGTTGGTATACCGATAATCATTAACAAAAGTACTGTATGTGTAAATAATTCCCGTTTTTCAAATTTTCTTTATAAGTATTTTTAAAATATTTTCCTCACAAATGTTTTTTTGGGAAGATCACATTATCCCCATTTTACAGATGTCATATGGAAATAATAATAGCACCTACCTCAAAGGATTGTTTCAGGGATTCATTAGATAATCCACATTGAGTACACAGAGTATGTGGCACATTACTTACTGAGTGCTCAAAACATGTTAGCTATTAATATGTAAATGTATTAGCAACTATTCTAAGGTTATTAGGAGTCCATTTAAAGCAGGCCAGGAGGATTTGGGTCTTCATCTAGAACGGGACAGTTCCTCCAAAAAATAAAGATACCACTGTTTATATAACTAACTAGAATTTAAATAAAAGCCTCAAACATTAAAAAAGAAAAATGATACCACTGTTTATATCCGTCTGCCTAGAATGCTTTTCCCCTCCTCACTCCCAACTCCTGACCTCTCCACTGGGCTAATTCTTATCCTTCAGGTCTCAGCTTAGATAGTACTTCTTGCAGGGGTGAGCAGTCTCTAACCTCTCCCAAATCTAGATTATACTATATATACTAGGGCGCTCCTCCTATGGGCCCCAACGTGGATCACAACTGCCTGCTTCTATGCTTCCCTACGACACTAAGGCAGGGATCATGTGTATCTATACACCACATTCTTGGCACTAAGCACAATGCTAGAACAGAGTGAAGCCTTGATAAATACCTGTGATATGAAGATATCTAGGCTCTGAAATGAGCCTGGTTTGTGTCGGATGAACAGGTTTTCCTTTAGCATGATTGACTACTACCAGCCAATGAGATAAAGTAGCAGACACTTGCGGGGGTGGGGGGGCGGGCAGTTAAGGACGAGGCTGGCAAAATGGGATGTGGCATCTCAGAAGCAGAGGGGCTGAAGGGAGAGGCTCTAGAGGAACCAGGTCCCATCTGGCCACTTAAAAGTCACACCAGCAGCACCACATCCAGATTCACTAATTCTGGATATCTAGATACTAGTCCTGTAGCACGGGGAATGAGAGCCTGGGTTAGGGGCACCTCATCCCAGTCTAAGAGACTTCTGACCAGAGTATTAATAACAAAATAAGCAGGGGCCCTGAGAGCTGGGATGAAAGAATCCAACTGATCCAAGACCCCAGAAGACTTACCAGACAGTTGGGATTTGTTGAGCACATCTCGCCCAGCACAGAACCGCAGTGCTCAGGAAGAAATTTTGAGACTTCAGGCACAGCTGACGGAAAATGAACTGAAATGTTCTGATTTGTTACGGCAGCTGCATCATAGGAAGGGACAACTTTAGAATAGTATCTGACAGCATGGAAGGAATTAAGAGAGAGAGCTTTGCTGGGAATTTGAGTTTTATACATATCATCGATTGCGTTCTCCGAAGCGGAGCTGGACTGACCTTTAATAAAAAAGAAAACAAATACCCATCAGTATTCACAACTCTGTAACTTGGAACTACTGTCTTTGAAATAAATTGTCCTTTATGTCATTCCCTCCTGTTACAAACTTATACTACTCTTATACTCAAATGCTGACGGAAAAAATACAGTGAACTTCTTAGTAGTGACCGTTAGTGCAATACACATACTGTAAATTAGTGTTTGTATGTCAGAAGATAGATTTTAGAGGAAGATCAGATCTCTGTGACTCTGTGTGTGTGGGGTGTGTGTGTGTGTGTGTGTGTGTGTGTGTGTGTGTGTGTGTGTGTGTGTCTGTGCGCGGCTTTCATCATTATCAAAATTGTGTTCATCCCTATGGACCCAAAGAAACATGAAAGAATGTTGGAAAGTTGAACTCTATTCAGTCATAAGTAAAGTTTGGTCGATTTTCTATCAATGAAATTAGTAGTATAATTATATATCTATCTATATTCTGTACAGTAACTAGAAGACAAAAAAAAATTTTTAATAGATTATGAGGGACACCTAGGTAGCTTAGTCGGTTGAGCATCTGACTCTTGACTTTGCTCAGGCCATGATCCCAGGATCGTGGAATTGAGCCCCATGTCGGGCTCCACACTGACAGCATGTAGAGCCTGTTTGAGATTCTCTCTCTCCCTCTCTCTCCACTTAGACATGGATGCACTCTCTCTCTCTCTCTCAAAAAAATATATGTATTATGAATACTAACAATGTAATCTGAAGTAACACTGTGAATACTTATCTTTTTTGGATATTAGTAGTAATGAAAGTAAAGAAATTTTGTGTCTACTTTACAAATGTATCTAGAATATTTGTGAAAAAAGCATTTCAGCAGATATGTATCAAAAGAACAGGTAAAGGTAACCTAATACAATCTAAACACTGAACTCAGTTAGCACTTCTGTGCTACAGGGCAGATGTTGGCAGACACCTGGTGACCTTGGGTGTTAATTTTATTTCTCCAGCCTTCAGTTTACTGACCTACGTGGTGAAAGTGACATTGGAAGACTTAACTGATTTCAACTGTTCCAATCCTCTTCCAAAAACAATTTGGCAACATGCATTATGACCTACATATGTGCTCACATTCTCAAACTTATTCATCACACACTTCCAGGTACCTAGCCCAAGGAAAAGTTCAAAGTATAGGAAAATCTATGTATGAGGAAATATTTCCTCTCCTGTTATATATGGAATCACTCCCCCCACAAAACTATTGGAGGATTGCTAAGAAAATCTTTTATAAATTATTTGATTAAGCCATTAAATGGTGGTAAGAGGTAAAAAAAATTAAAGTATATTTGACACAGTGTTAAGTAAAAGAAACAGGCAACAAATTTGGATATCCAATGTGATTACTGCTGTAGAAAAATATACATAGAAAAAGACTTGAAGGAAATACATTAAAAATGAGCAGCTATTATCTTAGGCGGGCTAGTTAAGGACTAATATTGCTTTCCAAATGGAAAAGTGTATATAAATAAAATTAAAATGGGGGTCTGACTCAATGACCTTCAAGGTCTTCCCCAGTCTGAACATGGCATAAAGTCCATGGTCCTGGTATATCTGTGTTTTCCCAAGAGCGGCTGCTTTAGGTGGCATCAAAACAAAAGAGATGCTGGGGCACAGAGAGACTGGAACTCACCACCACGAAAACAGTGTTTCAGGATTTCTGCAGAATATAAACAATGAGAACGCAGAAGTATTGTATGTTCAGAAAGTAACATTGACAGGCATATGCCTGTGGCCTGACCTCTGATTTAATCTGATCTGATTTAATCATTCAGGGTGATATTCAGCCACAACTACTTTAAGTAGATTATCTGTGGCTCATGGCTACCTTTTTTTTTTTTTCTTCCCCTCTCCCCTATATCAGGGGAAAGGTATGAATTCACTAATAAAACACCCTGAAGCCTGTTTGATTATATGAACAAGGAGGACTATATACTATTTTGGGTCTCTTTTTCTTTGACTTTAGATACCATCCCTAGTAACATTTGTTCCTGTGGCTTTTCCCATGCCCCCTAATATGCACAGTACCTCTACTACAGCACTTAAAGCACTACAGGAATCCTATTTTGCTATTGTGACTCTCTCCTCTACTAATCCGCCAGCTCTACAAGAACAAGAGCTGCACACTGTTTGTCTTTGTGCCCCCATCTTTCAATCAGGGACATTTTTATTTTATTTTTTTTTAAATGTCTTATTTATTTCTAGGAGAGAGAGAGAGAGACAGCGTGAGCAGGGGAGGGTCAGAGAGAGAGGGAGTCACAGACTGAAACAGGCTCCAGGCTCTGAGCTGTCAGTCAGCACAGAGCCCGACGCGGGGCTCGAACCCACGAACCGCGAGATCATGACCTAAGTGAAAGTCGGACGCTCAACCGACTAAGCCACCCAGGCGCCCCAATCAGGGACATTTTTAAAAATTTTTTAACGTTTATTTATTTTTGAGAGACAGAGACAGAGGGTGAGCAGGGGAGAGGCAGATAAAGATGGAGATGCAGAATCTGAGCTGTCAGCACAGAACCCGACGTGGGGCTTGAGCCCACGAACCGTGAGATCATGACCTGAGCCGAAGTCAGTCGCTTAACCTACTGAGCCACCCAGGTGCCCTTCAACCAGGGACATTTAAGTTGAGAACTAAGGGATGAACTGGGAGTTCCCCTGGTAGAGTATGGAAAGGACATTCCAAGTTCTGGGAAGGTGCTGAAGTGAGTGAGTGGAATCCCTTTGAGGAAGTCAGCAGTAGGGTGACCTCAGACTTGGGCACTGAAGAGACAAGTCAGGGTGTCCTGTCATCTAGCATCTAAAACACAGATTAGGAGCTCAGTACCTTACTGGCTTTTCAGTGAAGAGTAACTTTCAGGAACTGAAAAGTCACAAACTGGTAGCTGTATTTTTTACTTTGGCTCTGCTTTTTTCCATCTTCTTATTTCTACAAGTATATGGGCATGACTTGACATTATAACACAAATAACAAAACTGCCTTACAGTGGGTAAATACTTGTTTCATAAGGAATATTCATATAGTGAAGGTTTCTTAAGCACCTACTGTATGCTGGTCATTGCTCTAGGTACTAGAAATACAGCAATGAACAAAACAGGCAAAAAAAAATTTCCCTGTCTTCATGGAGTTGATATTCTAGTGGGAGACAACAGGCAATGAGAACATATGCTAATAAATATTAGAAAATAATACGTTTTATGAAGAAAAATACAGCAGAAAAAATAGGTAAGAAGTCTCATGCATTTAAAAGAAAAAAAAGGAAAGAAAAGAAGTCTCATGTATTGTGTGATGCTGGGAAGTACACAGTTTTAATTAAGTGGTTGAGTCTCTCTGAGAAGACAATTAAGCAAAGATATGAAGGAGGTAAATAAGTTAATATGTTAAATACTCACCACATAGTTAGTAGTCAATTAATTTGAGTATTTCCCTTTCCTTTACATTCGATTCAGGTAATAAAGTCGCCAATGTGCTTATCATCTATCAGTAATATAAGCTTTCTACTGGACAGCCACAGGCAAAAGAATGAAACTGGATGCCTAATTTACACCATACACAAAAATTAACTCAAAATGGATTAAAGACTTAAACATAAAATCTGAAACCATAAAACTTCTAGAAGAAAACAGGGAGTAAGCTCCTTGACATTGGTCTTGGCAATGATTTTTTGGATCTGACACCAAAAGCAAAGACAACAAAAGCAATAACAAACAAGTGGGACTATCTCAAACCAAAAACCCTCTGCACAGCAAAGGAAATCATCAACCAAATGAACAGGAAATATATGGGATAGGAGAAAATATTTATAGGTCCTATACCTGATAAGGGATTAATATCCAAAATATATAATGAACTCATACAACTCAACAGCAAAGAAACAAGCAAACTGATTTAAACGTGGGCAGAGGATCTAAATTAGGCATTTTTCCAAGGAAGACATACAAATGACCAATGAGTACATGAAAAGATGCTCAATATCACTAATCATCAGCGAAATGTAATTCAAAAGCACAATGAGATATTACCTCATAGCCATTAGAATGGCTCGTATCAAAAAGACAAGAAATAACAAGTGTTGGTAATGCTATGTACTCATGCACTGTTGGTGGGAATGTATATTGATGCAGCCACTATGGAAAACAGTATGGAAGTTGCTGAAAAAAATTTAAAAAGTGTTGTCATATGGTCCAGCAATCCCATCTATGGGTATTTATCCAAAGAAAATAAAAATACTAACTCAAAAAGATATAAGCACCCTATGTTCATTGCAGCATTATTGACAAGAGCCGAGAACAATCTGAGTATCTATTGATGGATAAATGAATAAAGAAAATGTGACAGAGATATATAGACACACACACACGTGCATGCACACACATAAACATATGCATATACACACACATACAGTGGAATATTATTCAAACATACAAAAAAATGAAATCCTAAAAAAATAAAAATGAAATCTTGCCATTTGTGACAGTATGATTGACCTTGAGGGCACTATGTTTTGTGAAATAAGTCAGAGAGTGACAAATACTGTATGATCTCACTTATGTACAGAATCTCAAAAAATAAGTAAGTATAAAAATCAAGCTCATACATACAGATAGCAGACTGGTTTCCAGATGTGATGGTGGGGAAGTGGATGAAATGAGTGAAGGTAGTCAAAAGGTATAAAATCTTCAGTTATAAAATAAATAAGTCATGGGGATACATGTACAACATGGTGACTATGATTAATACTACTATACTGCATATTTGAAAGTTGCTAAGAAACCAGATATTAAAAGTTCACAAGAAAAAGTATTGTAATTTTGTTGACAGATGTAAGGCAGACTTATTGTGGTGATCATTTCACAATGTGTACAAATAATAAATCATTATGTTGTACACCTGAAGCTAATATAATGTTCTATGTCAATTATACCTCATTAAAAAAAAAAAACAAAAACGATGAGCTTTCTGTTAACAATGGTCCATTTTGAGCCCAATCTGGGCAACACCATATAAATGCCCTGTGGCCATCTTGTGTACTTCGAGCAGACAATACCAAAAGGACTCATGGTGTAATCTTCTAGCTACACTCCTTTCCCTGGTTACGCAACGAATGCATAGAAGCACGAGGGTGCAGATGACATACGTAAGCCCAGTGCACAACCTGCACAGGGCATCAGGCAGAGCTCACCTCTCACAGCGTCATCCGAGGAGCCCCCTGAGGCAGGAACAGAATACACATTCACACACTTATTAGCCAGGAGTCTGATCTCTCTCACAGGTGAATAAGCGTTTGTCAACACTTCACTTTCCCTTAAAAGGATAGAACAAAAACACCTGATGAAATTCCCAAGGAAGACAACATGAACATTGCTGAGTTCAATTCCTCCCTCTATCATTCAAGTTCTAACCTGACAGAGAGGAATTAAGCATTATTTAGGCATAAGAACAAACTGGTGAATAGGACTCATGATGATAGTTTCGGATGTGGAGGAATGATTTGTTTTATGCTTTTTCTTTGTTTATACGTTCTAATAAATTTAAATATGGAGACACTCATTTGGTGTGTCACATTTTGTACCAGAAAATTTTTTTTAACTCCCAACTGAAATAGGCTGGGCTACTCCCGGGCCCAGGACTCCTGTGACGGAGGAATGGTAGAATGCAGCCTGCCTCTGTTGTTCTGCCAGTCACGACCGTTACTACCGACAAAGCCTTGTTTTATGATCTTCAGAATTAACAAAACAAGAAATAAGAGTGAGTCAGATGATGAGACGATCCTGAGCCTGAGAATATTACATATTTTATCACTGTGACTAAATGATACACATTGGCAATGGGAGAAGTTCACGGATTCTTCATAAATACCTGAGTTTTCATTATGGGTGGGTTCACTGCCTACGTATCTACACTACCTCTAGCGTTGGCATTGGAGGAAAATAACAAGCCAACTATCAATGCAGGGGAACCCTCCTCATACCTTTGTGCCATGATCGGGCCTGGGAGGGATAGCTGGATGGACACTTGCTGTTTCTTACAAAACCTCTCATCGTTCTGAAGTACTTCCGTAATCTGAGAGAGAGACATCTATTTAGATATTTTTCATGTATACAAACACACATACATTTCCAATTATAAAAGATAAAATAGTTTTATTTTTTTTAATGTTTTATTTATTTCTGAGAGAGAGAGAGAGAGAGAGAGAGAGGCAGCGTGAGCAGGGGAGGGTCAGAGAGAGAGGGAGACACAGAATCCAAAGCAGGCTCCAGGCTCTGAGCTAGCTGCCAGCACAGAGCCCAACACGGGGCTTGAACCCACCAACCGTGAGATCACGACCTGAGCCGAAGTCGGACACTCAACTGATTGAGCCACCCAGGTGCCCCAAAATTGTAGTTTTAAAGCGCGGTCTATGAGGATAAAATTCAAGGACTTAGAATCAAATACCTGGGCCATAACGGCTGGAGGGATTTTCTCCCGGATGTACTCCACATAAACAACTGTTGCCTCAAGAATCGAAGCCACATCATTCTTTCTCCCTTTTGCATATGGCAACAGTGTACGCAGCTGCTCACAGCAATACTTGATTCGTTCTCTGAGCAGAGAATTAGAATAAATAAGGAATAATTAGTCTCATTTTCTTCCTTGTACGCAAGGACAAACAGTCCTTCCTCCTAGGTCTGTTAACAGAGGAAATGCTTCCTCCCTGTCTAGTCTCTGTTTCACAGAAAGGCCATGTCCCCATAAGCCAGCAGCCGCCACAGCCCCCGGAACCATGGCGTCTGTTCACACTGCTGCCCAGTACAGTGTTTCTGCTGACGGCAGCCCCCGTTCACTTGTCCCAGGCCTGCTGCAGTGTGCAGAATGACCCTGCCTATGGAAAGCCCTCTCAGGAGGGAGTGGCATGCTATACATAAGTCCTTTAGTAATTCACACTAGAAGACTAGCAGACAAAGAACAGTCAGGAGATTTTTCATGTCACTGTGACCTGGACCACATTTCCAACAACAGATCAATTAGCATATTGTATTAAATGGGCTTTACATGTAACTCTGTGTTCTGAGCCAAAGGAAAATCAGAAGGCTACTTTCTTCAAATGAGGTAGATATGAACAGAATAAACCAGTATGCAAACGAGAACATCGTTCAGGCTAGTATCAGAAAGAAATTAATCCAAGTCTTTCATGGTTCTGAAGCGAAATGCATAGGAAATATAAATCTAAGCCTTTGATCTAAGCCTTTGGAACTTCTATTTGCATGTATTCATTTAATAAACATTATTAAGCACCTGTTTTATGCTGAATAGCAAGCACCTTGACATACATAGGTTCAAATGCTGGCTCTGACAATTACCAGATAGGAACTTTAGCAAGTCACTAAACCTTTCTGAACCTCAAATTGATATACAGCTTATGAGTAACTCAAATATTCTAGATCAGTGGTATTTTAACAGGACTCTGAGCAGTTCTGACAGTTCTATAGAGGTGTCTCAGGGACTCTTCTAGAAAAAAAGGAATGAAAAAGTCAACAATTTGACAATGTATACAAAAGGCTTGAAACTTTTCATACCCTTTAACATGTTAATTTCACTTACAAGGACCTAAAACACAGAACAAACTTTTTGCAAGATGATATACATTATAGCAGCATATCAGTAAGATATTTAAAAGAAAAATCTAAACACATAAAATAGATGGATACTTAAGTAAGCTATAGCTTACTAACTCAGTAGAATATTATCTGGTAGTAGAAATGATATGCTATAAATCTAATGGGAAAAAATAGGATATTTTATAGCATATAACTATAAAATATAAGGCAGTATATAAAATATGATGATAGAATTAAACAAAGTAAAAATAAAGCATACAAAAAAGATTTGAAAGTGAAACCATCAAGTCATAGTTATTTCTGGATGGTTAAGCTATGGAAAATATTATTTCTTCCTTTTATTTTTTATATTTCCCAAATATTTTTGCTGGATACTAGTTACTTTTATAGTAAAAAATCATATTAGATATTTTTTCCAACATTCTCTGGGAATGCTCAAACGCACAGAAAGACTGAAAGAATTTAGAATCTTAATTCTTAAAAGTTGAAAAAATTAAAAATTTGTACAGAGAACATGTATATACTTCACCCACCTAGAATCTACATTGAATGTTGACTGTCCTCACTTGGTCACATATGAATTATCATACTGGCCATATATCAACCTATTTTATTATACTGAAGCATTTCAAAGTAACTTATAAACTTAAGACACTAAACTCTTAACCATATTATTAGCTAGAGTTCAATTATTTTATTTTCAAATAAAAGTTACATAAAATAAAAAATACACAAATCTTAAGGGTACCATTCTATGAGTTTTGACAAATGCACAAAACTATATAACAAAAACCCTAATTATCATGATCACAACCCTGGAAAGTTCCTTAGGTTTCTTCCCAATCTCATCCCTCAAAAGGGGCAACGACATTTCTGGTATTTTTCCATCCCACATTAGTTTTGCCTGTCTTCAAACTTCATATAAATCTAAATCTTCAGCATGTGCCATTTTGTGTAAGATTTCTTTCCCTCAGCATGTTTTTGAGATTTGTCCGTGTGGCTGTTTATTAATAGTAGTTTGTTTCTTTTTATTGAGTAATAGTATTCCATAGGACAAATACGCCATAGCTTACTGATGAACACTTTGGCTGTTTCTGGTTTTCAATCATTATGAATAAAACTGCTAGATCACCCTGTACACCCTTCTGTGAATGCATGTTTTTATTTCTCTGGGAACACATCTAGGAATAAAATTAATGGGTTAATTTTATAAATTTATAAGAAATTGACAGAACTTTTCCCAAAATAGTATCATTGTACACTCTCACTGTCAAAGTATGAGAGTTCCTTTTGTTTCAAATCCTTGACAACATTTAATATTGTCAGTAGTTTTAATTTTAGCATGTTGGCCTTTCTAAGCAATTTAGCATATTTTCAGTAGTTTTAATTTTAGCATTTTTGGTACATGGTAGTACCTCATGCTTTACCTTGTATTTCCGTGACCAAAGAAAAAAATTTATGTTGAGAACTTTTATGTTGAGAACTTTTTCTGGTGCTTATTGGACACTTGCACATCTTCTTTTGTAAAGTGTCTGTTCAAATATTTTATTTCAATTTTAATTGGATAGCAGGGCTTTTTGGTAGTGAGCTTTAGAAGTTATCATCTGTAATACCAGAATTTTTTCAGCATATTTGTTTTGCAAATATTTTCTCCCAGTCTATGGTTTGCCTATTTATTTTCTTAGTGGTGTGTTTTGATAGTCACTTTTAAATTTTGATGAGTCTAATTTATCTGTTCTTTTATAGTTATTGCTTTCTGTGTCCTAATGAACAGCTGTCCAACCTCAATTTGTGAAGACATTCTCCTATGCTTTCTTCTAGAACTGTACTGTCCAATCCAGTAGCCAGTAGACTGGTCTATGTAGACTTATAGCCATTAGTCTATATAAACTAGCTAAAATTAAAATTCATTTCCTATTACAAAAGACACATTTCAAATACTCAACAACTATATATGACTAGCAGCTCCTTTACAGGACAGTGGATGTGAATATAGAGTATTCCTAACATTGCAGAAAGTTCTACTAAACAGCACTATTCTAAGTTTTAGCTTTATACTATAGTTCTGTCTATGCTCCATCTTGAATTAATTTTTATACAGTATGAGTAAGGGGTCAAGGTTCATTGTTTTTCCATTTGGATATCCAGCTGTTCCAACACCATTTATAAAAAAGACCTCTGTTTCCCACTAAGTTTGCTCTGGTGATTCACTGAGAATCAAATGAACACAGATGTGTTGGTCTAGTGCTAGGATATTATGTTCCACTGATATATTGGTCAACCTTTATGATAGTAACACTGATTACTGTAGCTGTATACAGTCTTGAAGTCAGATAGTTTAAGTCTTCCAATTTTGTTGTACTTTTTCAAGAGTGCTTTATTCTAAGTACTTTTATATTATAGGTACTTTTCATTTTTAAATCAGATTATCAATTTCTTTTTTTCTATTTAAAAAAATTTTAATGTCTGTTTATTTCTGAGAGAGAGAGAGAGAGAGAGAGAGAGAGAGAGAGAGAGGAAGAGAGGAGACACAGAATCTAAAGCAGGCTCCAGGATCTGAGCTGTCAGCACAGAGCCCGACATGAGGCTTGAACTCATAAATTGTGAGATCATGACCTGAGCTGAAGTTGGACACTTAATTGACTGAGCCACCCAGGCACCCCAGATTATCAAAAAAAGCCAGTCTGGATTTTTCTTATACACATTTCAAAGTATATATTTTTCTGTTTATCTACCTCACTGTGCCTTTATATTTATAGTGGTCTCTTACAGACAGCAGACAGATGTGTCTTGGTTTTTGTTTGCTTGTTTGTATTCATTCTGACAATCTGTACTATAAGTTGGATATAGGCGGATAAAAGTCTATCATTTTATGATTTTTTTGCCTGTAGTTTCTTTGGCTTTTTTGTTCTTCTGTTCTTCCTTTCTTGGCTTCTTTTTAAATAATTTTTAAAATCCCATTTTAATTTGTTTCTTGGCTTCATAGCTATCCCTTCTGCATATCTCTTTAGGAATGCTCTAGGGATTACAATATATATCTAACTTTTCATAGTCTATTTAGAGTTAAAATTTTGTGACATCACATAAAATATATAAATGCTAAAATCATGTAAGTACCTTTACCCCTTTCATCTTTCACGCTATAGTTGTCATATGTGCACACCTACATATACAGTTGACCCCCGAACAACTTTTGAGTGGATGAGCTTGAATGCACTCATCCATTTAAATGCAGATTTTCTACAGTAGATACAGTACAGTACTATAAATGTACTTTCTCTTCCTTATGATTTTATTAATAACATTCTATTTTCTATCTTACTTTATTGTAAAAATACTGTATATAATATACATAACATATAAACTATTTGTTAATCAACTGGTTATGTTATTGGTAAGGTTTCCAGTCACCAGTAGGCTATTAGCAGTTAGGTTTTGGGGAAGTCAAAAGTTATACACAAATTTTTGACAGCACGGGCATCAGCACTCTTTTTTTTTTTTTAATATATATTTTTACAAATAGTTTATTGTCAGGTTGGTTTCTATATAACACCCAGTGCTCATCCCCACAAGTGCTCTCCTCCATGCCCATCTCCCCCCTCCCCACCCCACATCCATCAGTCCTCAGTTTGTTCTCAGCATTCAAGAGTCTCTCATGGTTTGCCTCTCCCAATTTCCCCCAATTTCCCCCCTTCTTCTCCTCCATGGTCCTCCATTAAGTTCCTCCTAATCCTCCTATACGTGCAAACATGATATTTGTCCTTCTCTGCCTGACTTATTTCGCTCAGCATGACACCCTCAAGGTCTATCCATGTTGCTACACATGGCCAGATTTCATTCTTTCTCATTGCCATGTAGTATTCCATGGTATAGATAAACCACATCTTCTTGATCCATTCGTCCGTTGATGGACACTTAGGCTCTTTCCATGTTTTAGCTATTGTTGAGAGTGCTGCTATGAACATTGGGGTACATATGCTCCTAT